GCGATCAACAAGTGTAAATAAAAGTCATGTATAGTAAAAAATAGAATTTAAAAGACTTAGCTGTTGTTTTTATGGAATAATGGCATTAAGCCATTTGTGAAAGTGCTTTATTAGTAAATCAGGTCCGGCATAAAGTTTATAATAATGGCCTTAACCAATCAAGCAAGGTAAATAAAGTGCTGTTGGAGTCAGTGGGATTGGGTGGATTTAACCATGAAACAAAAAAATCAAAAATCATTGTGTCAGAACTAGGAACGTTTAGAGGCTCGAAGATATTCAATTCGCTAAACTTAACAAGCAAACAGCGTCCCAAGCAAGACAAAAGAGGAATTGTCAAAAGTAAAGAAATAGAAAGCACAAAAATAAATCGAATGACGGTACAAGTAGATAACGAAGAAATTTGGGATAGCTTCGCAGCCAGCCAGCCGAACATTGAGAATAAAGTATCGAAGTGGAAAAGTCCACGATCTAAAGCGATGCATGGACTCGTAACTGAGGTCGCATCACAATGCGCTTGAATACATTTCGCCGTAGACAAGCCACAAGGTGTGATATCAAGTTCCCCTTGAGATAATGGAGTATATCTGTAATGAGAATCGGTGCTGACTGGCTGGCTAGGCAACCATCAGCCTAGGTCACGAATAACAAATAATATTAGGTTTGTTTGGTTAACCAGAAGATTGGCGCTGCTGAAGACGTCACCAGGACTAAAAGGAATATAGCACTCCAAAAATATATAATATTTAACCTCTAATTTAAAAAATAGATACGAACTCATATCATCACTAAACGTGAAAAATTTTGTATAAAAAAGAATCAGCTATATATATATTCCGTGTTTAGGGTAAATAAGAATAAAAAACAGTTTTAGAAAAAAATTGAGTAACTAAATAACAGAGGACAGTAAAAATAATAAGAGAAATTGAGAGACATCCTTACTTGTTGTCCTTGAAGAAGAGCCTTAGGGTCGTACTGAACTTCCTAGAATAATAAACAAACTTGCGCTTTTGCTCTTCTAAGCTTTTACTATGATTACCAGAAGGAAGCAAGCCCAAGACAACCGTTACACAATCTAGAAGCTTTTTGATAGCACTAGCGATCTCCCTAGGACGAGTAATTTATAATATTAATATCTACTTGACAGTTTCGATAAAAAGACGACGATCAGAAATTTCATCAGGAATTCTTCCAAGTATATTTTTGAGAGATTGCGCTTTAAGTTCTAACTCATTAAGATCAGAGTA